GGCTCCTCCTCATCCTCATCCTCCTCCTCATCCCCCTCCTCGTCCCCCTCCTCCTCCTTCTGCTGCTTCTCCTCTTCCTCCTGCTTCTTCCGCTGCTCCTCGTCCTGCTGCTCCTTCATCTTCCTCTCTGCCTCCTGCCAGACACGGGGGGTGTCACTGCAGGTCCTGGGGAGCCCCAGGAGGATCCCGGGGTCACCCTTGTCCCCCTCCTACCTTGGTGGCCCCCCAGGTCTCGTTCCCAACTTCCTCTGCCAGCTTCTCATCATCCGTGATCAGGAAGTTGTCAAAGATGGTGCCAGACTTGACCTGCAGGAGGGGGAAGGGTCGGGGGGTGTTCCACGCCCCACAGGGGGGTTCCACGCCCCACAGGGGGGGTCAAGAGTGGTCCCACACCACAGAGGGGGGTCCCCACGCACCTGCCAGAGGTCGAGGCCAATGACCCCGAAGCTGTCGTAGGCGTAGAGGTGGGGGTCAGGGCTGTACTCGGGGTTGTCGATCTCGGGGTGCACCCACTTCCCCTTGTAGTCAGGGTTGTCGATCTGCCGGGGCCGCCACTCGCCCTGGGGGGGACACAGTGGGTCATGGGGGGGCCTGGCCCAGCCCTTCAGACCCCCCTGTGCAGCCCCAGCCTCACCTTGTACTCCGGGGTCCGGGACCCCCCGCCCATCTCCTCACCCCAATCCTCTGGCTTCTTGGCATCAGGATCCGGGATGTGCTCGGGCTTGTCCCAGTCCTGGGGGAGGGGGGGCGGGGGGGTCAGGGTGCTGCTGCAGCCCTTGTAGAGCTCCCCAGACCCCCTGGAGCCCCCTCCTCACCTCGGGCTTGGTGTCCTCGGGGTCATCGATCTTGGCCCGCTCGTCCCAGTCGTCAGGTTTGCGGGCGTCGGGGTCCTTGATCTTGCGGGGGGGCAGCAGGTCCCAGTCCTCCTCCAGGCTCCCCGACTCCACCCGCGCGTTGTCGATCTTCACCTCATACGTGTTGTCAGGACGAACCACCAGCGTGTACAGGTGGGTGAACTCATCGTCCTGAGGGAGAGGGGGGAGTCAGAGGAGCTGGGGTCTCCCTCCGCGGGGCTGAGGACCCCGTCCCCCCAGCACTCCCCACCCACCTTGCAGCGAATGTCCTTGTTGATCAGGACGTTCTTCCCTTTGTAGTTGAAAATGACATGAACCTTCTTGGTGCCGGGGCCGCAGATATCAGGGCCTGGGGGAAGGGACAGGAGGTGAGGAGGGGGTCTCACCAGCACCTTGAGGGGCTGCACAGGCAGGCCAGGGACCCACCGAACATGATGTTGTACTCAGAGTCTCCATGCATGTCCTCCTGGTTGAGGCTGGATGGGAAGAGCTTGACATAGCCCCCCCCACAGTCGATGTTCTGCTCGTGCTTCACTGTGAACTGAACCACCAGCGTCTTGTCCCGGTTGCTGAAGGGCTCAAAGCGGGAGGAGAGGGCGTAGAACCGGGCATCCTGGCTCGTCTGGATCCCTGTGGGAGGGGGGTGGGTTGATGGGAGGGGTTTCCAGGCCTGGGAAAGGGTCCCAGCCCTGCCCCACCGGGGTCTCCTCACCTTTGTCCTTCTCAGCGTCTCCGTAGAACTTCCCGGCCGTGAGGACAAACTTCCCATAATCAGGTTTGTGCTTCGACTCCACCCACCGGCGCATCCAGCTTTCTGTGGGGAGAGGAGGGAGCTCGAGACCCCGGGCCATGGCTGGGTAC